ACACGTTTGCACAATCTGGAAATTGTTGGAGTCCTTCACCTCTAGAAGATGCCAGGTTCCTTTCTCCTACCTATTTTTGGAAAAAGTCTGGAAGATTACTATCAGCTCCTGAAGTCTTGCAAATGACAGCTTTGTTCCTCCTGGCAGTCAAGGAATGGTAGACAGACTTCTCCAGCATCTTCAAAGTACATAGTTCTCCTGTTTTTCCCCTTCTGAGGTCTTGTACACCAAGGTTCTCCTTCTGTCTCCCCAACCTTCTCTTTGCCCTTCTACTTTTTCTCCCCTGGCTTAAGTCCTCTTATCCCGGTCTGTTACTGGCTTTCATCACTGCTTTCATCCTTTTCTTTCTGCTCCTACAGATGAGAATTCATTTGTTTTTTTCTGCTGCTGCTCTTGTGAAGTACAGCAGTGCCTACTTGTGCTCCCTTTGAGCAAAGAGGATGAGCAAGAGATACCGTCTGGAATGTCTTTATTTTGCGGTCGTGATATTCATAATTGATCAGCCAGCAAAAAATGAGCAAATGTATTAATATTGTCAGGAATATGGAATAAAATCCTCTGGTTTACAAATTACTGTAGGTAACAATATCTTGATGTACATTTGAACCATACTAATTTTCAGTAATGACTGGGAGAGACATTACAAATGACTGAATTTTGGCAAATTATCAAGTAAGCAAAGAAATAACAGATGGGTAAGATCTGACTGTTTAATTGTAGTGTGGTTTTAATATTAATATTTCACTAGGAAAACTTATTTAAGAAAAGTATTGAAGTCCCAGTTAGTCTTTTTTTTTGTGCTTTTGAAGTAAAGAGAGCACCTCCAATTAGTGAAGTCCTAATGTTATACATTCAATCTTCTTGAATAAAAAGACCCGCAACAGAGATCATAATGAGTTTCCTACACAATTTATGTTCCCCATTCATATTGGGTATATATTTTAGTCTTCCACCTCCATCTGTTATGGTGTTTCTTGCTAAACTGTCCCTATGCTCCTACCTAACACATTCTGTTAAAAAAAATATATTTTTAATGGAACTTCAGCTCCTTAATATGATATTTTCAAATATTTAATTATCTTCTGGTTTTAAAATTGGTTGTTCTCTGCCTTCTGGCATGTGGAATCAGAGGTTTTGATGAAATGGTGGGTCTAGTTGGAGTGCACACATCTTTAAGCAGTCGCAACTTCCACAACAGGGACTTTCTTTGAAAGGAAGAGGTGCATTTCAGAGAGACTTTTATAGAGAATGGGGTGCCTATGACAGATCATATCAGCTTCTATAGATTACATCTCCCTAGCCACAAAATAGGCATAACAAGTAATGGCAGTGCAAGCTTTCTTACCACTCTCTGACAAATTGCCTAATCCTAATCTTAAAGGAACTACCATGACTCTTACGAGGATACAGCATTTTAGGCCACTCTCCTGAGAGGGTTTACCAGCCTGCTGTTTGGGGGGGGGGGGGCAATAATTTATGTGGAAACTGCTAGGAACTAAAGGTAAACTGAAGTAAAACCACCCAGTCAGCACTGTGATCCCAAAATCTTATTTAGTAACATAGGTTTGATTTTTACCTAACAGTAAGGCTTGAAGTGGCCTTTTTTCTTTGCTGGGTTCCATTTTTGGGTTATTGCATTGTATCACTATAGTACAAGACCCAGCACAGCGTGTGAATGTGTGCATATGCACACGTGTGCACAAGACTCTTAAGTGAATTTACTAATATCAAGTGCTTAAATGATTAAAATCAAGTAAGTTTTGTAGTCACTGATGATGGTTCGTTCTCTAGTCAAACTTTATCAAAACTTTTATTCTCTCCTTTCGGATTCACTGGCTGGGACTTGAGCATGTTTATGCCTTAAAAAATACAAGTGTACTCACTGAAAATAGGGGTAGGAAATATCTCCTTCAGCTCGTAGCCAGGTTTAACATTTGCATTGCTGACCGTTAGTTGTTTTCTGTCTGTCTCTTGCTGAACTGATCCAGTGTTCCAGTCTCTGAGAACGACCATGTATCAGTGGTGATCAGATATCCTTCCTTTACATCTTGCATCAAGCCTATTTTCAGTCTTAAGTTTTTCATAATTGGTCCATCTAGTAGGTGAATGAGACCATATGTTTTTTTTCTTTCCCTCTTTTTCTTGAACCTCTGTAAAAATCGTTTCTTCAATGCTGATATTTTGTAGTTAGTTTTGCAGCTGCTAAGTGATCTTGGAAACAGTTTACATGGATACATTGTAGTTTTAGTGGCTCCCTAGTTTTCCTGTTGGTTCCAACAACTGCTCCCTTTCATGTGGCAGTCTACAAGGTTCAGAGGGGCGAAGCTACTGTGATCATTTCCACCTTGGTCAGATGGGCCAAGGGTTAGGCTACAAGTTCTCTACAGACACATTAGTTCCTAGGCTTCAGTACTTGGTCTTCTCTCTCCAGAAGGCTGTTCTCTGGAGAGGCTGGTACCAATAGTGTGGTGTATGAAATGTTAACCCATTGATTTAATGGCTGCTTCTCCTGTGAAACTTATGCTTTTCTAAAACCTGAGAGAGATATACTTCTTTATTATAGAAACTAGAAAATGTGATTGCGCACAAAACATTTAAGGACACTACCTGCTACCTGGAACATGCTTTCACTTTTTCCAAGAGGATTTAAAAATTCTTACTGACTTTTCTGTCCAAATGTCTATTAATTTAGTGCCAACAAAGAGAACGCTCTAGTGTCCCATCTCCTAACAGAATTCCTTCAAGCCTTCTGTGAGTCACTTTCATGCTTCTTTTGTACACTTCTGGTGTCTTAATTTTCATTTTCTGCTCCCCTCAAATTTTCTCCTCACTTTTCAGTAACTTCCCTCATTATTGTTTCCAGCCAGTTTGCAGCTGTCATTTTATTCCTTCCTCTCGCTCGTTTTTCACAGCAATATGATTATTTGAAGGTATTCCTCCACCTCAGTCAGGAACTTGTTTCTGTGTCCCCCTCTGAATAGCAGGGCTCTGAAGCTGTAACGACAGGGAATTGGAAGTACAGAATTTTTCACTTTCTTTCTACTGGGAGGGATTTGGGATTGGTGCTGTCCCATCCCTTAGTTTAGTTTAGATTACTGAGCTGAGACCTGGTTTCAGAAGATGTGCTTGTCTGGAAAGAGCCTGTGTTTAGCTTCGTCTGTGCTGTAGGGTTGCTGCTACCTTAACAAGGGCAGCAAAGCTGTGGTATGGATGCAGTCTCTGCTGGCAGGAGTTTTTCTGTCACCAAATTACTTTCTAACAACAGTTGCATCTTCGTTAAGGGTTTTGCTCTCAGAGCTGTGCTTGGCTACAAGCCTTGTCTTTTCATGTATGTAGCCAGCACTGCTATTCCAACAGAATGTTTTGGGCTAGGACAGGGTCTTTCTGAATGTTAAACTTTTGTAGAAGAAAAATACAAAGCTGCAGTCTTGTGCTCGAGGTTTTCACAACTGGTGTGAAATCTTAAGCAGAGGAGCCTTTGTTAGATTGCTGAGAGTAGTTAGTTGTCTTTGTGACATTTTTCTATGGTGTGGTGAAGCAAACTTGACTTGTAAAAGAGAGAGACTGCAAGAATTAGATGCTGATAGTACTTCTGTTACTTTGGGATTTCTGTGCTTTTAGGGTCAATGTTCTTGCTTTGCAACAGGGATATAGATAGAGTTCCTACCCTTCTGAACAACTCAAATTTGCACTTCCTGACTATATTGGAAGATTGTGTTGTGATTATAATGTAAACTTCAGTTTAAAGTGTCTTCCCAACTTTGGTTGTTCTGAGAATTTTCCCTGCAATGATTCTTTGTAGACTTTTATTCCTTCTCCCCCAGAGGGTCCAGACGTTCTTAATCCAAATTGAATCTACGTGCTACATGGTTACTTATATAGTTCAAACAGCTGGTAAGAAAATGATTCAGCATGCAGCCTTGCATCACTGCATTGTCCTGATATCTACAGACCTTTTGCAATGGGATAATAATGTTTTCTTATGATTTCTTTTAGCATTCAAATAGACAGGAGTGTTAAGGAAGCTTCATCTCAGAATTCCATAGAGACAGGACAGGACCAAACCTTTTTTCTTCCCATTTGGCACTTTTATGATGAGAACAAGTGAGCCAGGCATTCGTGATGATGTAACAGATGTACACAAGTATCCCTTGCAGGTGGAAATTCTCAGTGATGTTAGTTTGAAAGATGTAACTTGATTGAATGTATGTGTATTTTTACAACATAGTTTGAACTACAGTAATGAATAATGATTCTGTCTCTGAGATGATGTTAAGAATGAAAGGGAATTATAAACTGTCATTAAGTAATTCCATATCATTCTACAATAAGGGCATTCTTACATATGTAAGCGCTGCAGCACCAGGTGCTTTGAAAAGTGCCTGGTGCTGCAATGCTTGCAGTTGTATAAGTGGCGAAATGCATGTCAGCTCTGAGAAAATGGCAGTGGCACGCTTTTGAACTAAAACACCATCTTGGAAGTGCTGTAGTTCAAAAGTGAACTGCCACCGTTTTCAGCACGCTGCTGTGCATTTCGCTGCTTATACAACTACATGCAGCACAGTGCAGTTCGCCTCAGCTCATGTGCAGAGCAGACTCGATTAATTGAGTCTGCTCCGAAGCGGCGGATCTCCAGTGCATCTTGGGACAGAAAAGTATGTGTATAGATGCCCTAAGTTACTAGTGCTGGCTGGTAATAAGACTTAATGTTTAAGATCAGTTATGACCTGGCTGATATTGCTTGTTTTCATCTATAAAAATCTTAAATAAAAAACAAACAAAAAACAACAAAAAAAGTTACCTGCATTTTAAATAATCTTTAGAGCTTGATGCATGTTACAACTTTTATGAATTTAGATTGCAATTCAATATGGCATAATAAGGGGAAATAAATAGTGCTTTTCAGCACTACTATAAATGAAAGTTTTTTAACTATCCAGTTTTAAGACTGACTTAATTTTTCAATTTTACTTATGGAGATTTTTCTTGTTTCTTCTCAGCTTTAGACTGTAAGCAAAAGAAGTCAAGATCAAGATCTGGAAGCAAGAAAAAAATGCTGCCATTACCTCATAGTGCTGATGAAGTTTACATACTCCGATGCAGGTATATGCATGTTCATTGCAACTGGTTACTTGACATAATTCTTCTTTTTTTTATTTTAAAGAGGTTATAAATTGTGGCTGCTTATAGAAAAATAACTCAAGTGAAGTTAAAGGATGTATTTCTTTGTTTTGCTTAGTGCTGCCCAAGTTCAGTATTAGTTTTAACCTAAGGGTGCTCTGTTACCTATAGGGGCACAGGCAGCAGCCTACTGCTAGTTGTAATCCCAATCAGGCACTGATGCCTGATTGGGGAGCAAGGCCCAGCTGGAGTATATAAGGGCTGGGTCCCTGAACTGCAGGGCAGCAGTCTGCTGCCAAGAGCTGGAGGGTCAGCACCACTTGGAGGTAAGGGCTGGAGCTATGGGGAAGGAGGAGGTCCCATGCTCCTGGGCATGACCTGAAACTGCACCCTTCCGGGGAATGGTGACCTGGTGGAGCTACCTATGGTGGGGTAGCTCCCCAGAAATGCTGGGCCAGTTACCTCCCCAGTGAAAGGTGGGAAGGGGCACCTGAAACCCCCAGCCCCCACATCCCTAGTGGGTTGTGATCTGAGATGGGGGAACCCAGGCTCACTGCGAGCTGGTAGGCCCAGAGCTGGGACTTGGAGCCTAGCTGATAATGTGAGTATGATAAGGCCTGGTTTGAGGCCAGGATAGAGAACCCAGTGTAAGGGCGCTGGGATCCCAAGCTCCGGTGGGGAGTGAGAGTGGCATGTGAGATTCTGGAGCTTGGATCCCAGTGCTAGCTAGCTGGAGGAAACATCTGCAAGGTATGGGACACATCAAGGGGAGGTCTGAGCATGTACAGAGGCCCTTGTCATCAGAGCAGGTAAAGAGCAGCCTCCTGCCTGATTTAACATTTGATAATCTGGAACATCGAGGCATGGCAGGAAAGACGGGCGAGTGGTTTGACCGGAAACAAGTGGGCGGACGTAGATTGAGATTGGCCCTGGGATGCCCACTTGTTACACTAAGCAAGAGATTTTTGAAACAGTCTTATTTTTTCAACAGATTTTAGGCTTCCACTTTCTCAAACGAAAACTTTTGTTGTGTTTCCTACTTCAAAAAAACCCAGCTCTGCTAAAGGGAAAAGATTGTTAATTACAGCAGGACAAATGAATAGGCAGCCCTCATAATATAAATTTTAATCTTGTGTTTAGAAAAATCTGAAATGCATAATCAAAGAATAATATATTAACCTTAAAGTGTTTTCAACTGAAAAAAAAAGTAAATTCTTATCATATAATGTCTTCAATAGTGCTAACATATCTTAATGAAATTATTTTAATTTGAACAGGTTTTGTGGTCTGGTCTTCCGTGGACCTTTGTCTGTTCAGGAAGACTGGATAAAGCACTTGCAGCGACACATTGTCAACGCAAATCTTCCACGAACTGGAGCTGGCATGGTTGAAGTCACATCACTACTTAAAAAGCCTGCCTCAATTACTGAAACTTCATTTTCTTTACTGATGGCAGAGGCAGCATCATAGAACAAACATTTTAAATTTGAATTGGGTGTAAATTTGAAATACTTTGTCATTTTTTTTAAAGTTGCTACACTAAATTATGTTTATAAATCCTGAAGCCAGAAAGATAGGGAAGGTGAATTACAGTAACATCAAAATAAATTGAGTACTTAACAGTTACAGTAAGTAGTCTTTATATTTTATATAGGGTAAAAGATGTGTTTTTAAGGTTTACTATGTTTTTGTCAGTTACTGTGTTCACTTATCAATACAAAACCATTACATGTAAAGCAGCCATTTTTAAATTGTTGCACATGGGTACTTAAAGACAGATTTTATTAAAAAAATGAAAATAAAACAAAACCATGTTCTCAGCAGTGTTACCAGAATCAAGGCTCTGTTTATTCCAAAAAGACTTGCATAGTAAAATAAGATATTATTATATTTTGTTTGTATGTATGTAGTGTTTTGTATAATACCAAGAACTGCTAATACAATTTACTCAATTTAGGGCATTAAATATCATGTACTTCATAGTTCAAAAGACTGTTTCATTCAAATAGGGCAATTAGTACTATTCTATCTAGGTGTGTAAGTGTTTTTTTTTTTTAAATCACATGAAGCTTTTTTGTACTAAAAAGTGGAGGGAAACTTGTTTAAACAAATATTTCTAAGAGAAATATGTACATAGTACTGGAAATTATTTGTGGTAAGGAAATATTCTTTACTTCAGTTGCATTTCTCACTGACAATAAAGTGGTGCATCTATGCTACCTCCTACTTGTCAACAAAGATGGTATTTACCCTTACATCTGTATCATAGATTCAAATCTAACTTCCTTTATTGCGAAGCATCTTTTTGTTAACACGTTTGTTTCTTTATGAAAGTCTGACTTGCTTACAGAACAGTTTGCCTCTGCTACTTTATTTAACACTGTAGAAATGTACTAATAAGCATTGCTCACTACACGGTTTAGACTAGACCTTTTCATTTATAATTCTGTTTAAAAAAATTATCATTTTAGCAAATTTGACCACCAATTGAAATGTTTCTACATATGAAGAGAATGTTTACAGTTTAAATTTTAGAACTTGTTTTGGATGTGATTAATATGTATGAAACTGTGTAACACTATGCTCATGCTAAGGACCTACTTACGGAGTTACTGAAATAAATGTGCTGTGAGGATGGAAAATATGGTGCAGGTGTCTTGGTCATGATAAATTTGTGTTTGTTCATTTAGGCTGTCTTCAAACACGATTTAATTTTTAATCAGTAAATCAAATTCCTCTCTGAATCAGTTTTGTATGCAAGTAACATTTCATTTTATTCATGTAGGGTAATTAATACTGTAGTTAAGCCAAGGATATGCATTGATATTTTCTGTATATGTAAATAAAGTTAAAAGCAGTTAAAACAAGAGGAGTATTTTGGTAGAGTATATACATACCTCACTGCCAGTGAAATTGCTTTCCTATGGTATATCTCCTTACCAGAAAAATCTCTAAATAAAAAGGTTTAAAGAAAATCTGAATGTCTATAATTTGAAGCATTTCTTGTTTGCATTTTGTGTGAAAAAAGTTTGTGTGAAATTGATCTGTTTGGCTTGAGATTAGGATCTACCTGTTAGTGATCCTAAGTAAAAATACAGCAGTGGTTCTCGACCCTTTTAGACTCAAGGCACCACTCCATAATTTTTCTGAATGTAGTGGCATTCTGGTTGAGAACCGCTGTGGGAGAAGAACCCAAAAGCTTGAAGTGAAGTCTTTCTCTCTTACAAGAAAAAAAAAACTATCCTAAAATGAATTTTAAGAAAGGATCATTGTGTAAAAACTGCTTCCAAATTGAACTGCACAAAGCAAGCCTATGTGGCTCTGTTGCCTCAGCCTGTCACGTATCAGGGCTTCCTGTGCTACTTGTTTGGGGCCAGGCAAGCAAACACACAGCTCAGCTTGGCTCTGTAAGATAACTTCTGGTGCAGTCCAGGCTGCCTCCCTCAGTTGGGGGAGCAGCAGTTGCTATGCCAGTAAGAACAGTCCTTGTGAGAGATGCAAGCACTGCAGGTAGGGCCTAAAGGAGAAGTTGTAGGATTCTACCTTCTTACAGGTTTGTTTAAACCTACCTTTGTGATGGCTTAACTTTGGGACCTTCCTATGGAGTGCATGCTCCCCTCTGTTTTGCCGCTGGTAGTGCTGGGCAAAACAGGGGGTGTTTTCCAGGCTTCTGCACATTCCCTCGCATAGTGAGTTCACTGGGCTTGTGCCCTGCTCCCTGAGTGACGTGGTCTTGTCCCCTCTTGGCCCTTAAAGAGGTAGTGCTGTTACAAGCCATGCCTGCAGAGGTGCGTGCACCTACATGGTCCAAGCTATCCTGTGCAGGGGGCAAGGAGAACAGGCTGGGTGGTTTGGCTGGCTCCCTGCTGCCCCATCAGTCTTCTGTATTTCTTTGCACCTTAGCTGGAGATCGCTTAAGGGAGCAGCCTGCCAAAGTTGCATTCTTTAAATAAATAAGTAAATGGTCACTGTTCTTCTGTATACCAAAAACAGTTTCAGATTGGAAACATGGGGCTGATCCTGTGGTCAGATTTCTTCTGTGTGGAATGAGCCGTTTGCGCTCTCTGCCCCTGCCTGCTGCATTCACTTCCTAGTCCAGCAGTGCACATGCCTCTGCATGGGGCAGTTTTACCTGGCTGTGGTGGCAGCAACCGCAATGCCACGCACAGCACCCTTGAAAGGGTCTTGCAGCACTGTAGTTGAGAGCCACTGACTTTCAACAGTGCATCATATTCACAGATACATTACATTCGATTGATGAGAATGTGAGTAAATAGCTGACTGGCACAATATGCAGTATGGTGGGACAGAGCCTGACAGGCTCCACTCCCTCTTGGTAGGTTAATATCAAGAGAGATTGTGTTGTATCTTAACTGTGCAATTCACTTTGGGTTAATAAGCCCAAAATTTGGTATAGTCTTGATTTCTATCTTGGAAAATGTTGCCATTTAGTAGATCTACAGAACAGAGAATGTGGGCAGGCTCCCGTGCCTGTATAACAGCCACCTACTTCAGCTGGTCTTCACAGAGCTACAGCACTGTTCCCTCTGCCCAGCACTGTAGGATTAGGGCCATATTTGGTATGGCATTAGAGTTTGGTTTTAGCTGTGGATACTGGCAAGCAACTAAATGTTTCTGAAGTTTTAAGTGTTTTCCAATGGGATTCCCTACTCGAGTGTGACATGCTTTGAAAGTTAGTAAAGGATTTGAAACTACATTTTTTAAAAGACAGGTAAAACTAGCTGAGAACAATGAAATTCCCTTGTTTGGGAAATGCTTTAAGGAGTACTTATTTACTTTCATCACCAAAAGATACTTGTAAAAGGACCACATTCTGTGGCTAGCTAACTGATAAGTTCAGTGATGTGAGCACTGATATTTATCTAGTGTTTCTAAGTAGGACTATACAGTAAAGCCATACCATCCAGAATTTAGCTAAAAAAAGTGTGTTTGGAACAAAATAAATACAAATACAACAAATCCGGAGTGTAAACACTAAAGAGTAATGTTTTTTTGTAATGCCTTAACATGTAAGGCTGTGTTTTGAGGAGCCATGAGGGTTTAATCTTAAAATACTGGCAGGAGAAAGAACTAATCAACTTTTAGAATCAGGCTTTTAAATTTGAAGATTAATGGCTAAACTTCTGCATGGCTTGATCAACAGCTACACAGTTATTTGCATTTGTTTGCAATTGTTCTTTTTCTGCACCATATTCTACAACATGGTAATTTGCACTGCCCTTCTGCCTGTTGTTTTTGGTGAAGGCTCACATAAGCAGTTGTTTCTTGGAAGGATATATATCAATTTTGAAAGGGTTTCTAAGGTACTGTGGGTAGCCTGGGGATGTGTGTGTGTGTGTGTGTCATTTTTTATGAGCCTTCCATAAAGTCCCATGGCTTCAGTGCCATTTCCTAAGCCAGTTCTGAAAACAGAAGCCATAGTTAATGCTTTACTTGAATGTCTCAAAGAGGCTTATACTAGAGTTTTTGAAGAGCTATGCTAGAGTTTTTGGGGAATTAGACTGGATGACCTCCTGTGGTCCCTTCCAACCCTAACTTTTTATGATTCTAAGAGCAATTAAGAAATCTCTGAGGCAGCTGCTGGAAGCAGGTGGTGTGTTTGGCCAGACACTGCAGAAGCTAGGAGTTGAGCAGCTCCCTGACCTCATCTGGGTCCTATTGCTACTTGTCCCATTCACAATATGCACCAGGTGTACTGTAATCATTAGGACAGAGCTGCTTGGTTGACTTGGGTCAGCCAGCTTTGCCTGTGCAACCTGAGGATAAGAGAGAATTGTTCTAGAACTGTTGTTGACTTCACTCTTGACACTGCAGTGCCAAACGGTGAGGATGAGACACCTGCCCAGCAAGAAGAAGGTGCTTATCCGGCTATCCTAGAATTATCAACTGGAGGGAACCAGAAATAATTGCTTTTGTAGTGAAAGTATGTACAGGTTAATACCTTGAGGGGACTGTGATTGAGTTCCAGACGTGCCTGAAATAGATTTAAGCCAGCAGTCAGCGGTCTTTTCAGGCTGCAGGCCAGAACGACCCCACTCAGTGGCAAGTGAGTAGGCGCTAGGACTCAGCTGCTGCTTCTCTCCACAGTGGCATAGGGAGAGGTCCTGCAGCTGCTGCTTCTCCCTTTGACAGCATAGGGAGAGTGACCACAGGCAAGCGTGGGCAAAGTCCCATGACCACAGGACATAAATTGCTAATCCCTGATTTAAGCAGCTGAGTTTTGTGAGGTGTTCCAGATGCACTGACAGAAGTACCACGTACCCATTCTGTGTCCCAGTCTCTTCACAGACAAGCCCAGGAGGTCTACTAAGTCCTTCCAAGTAAGCATGTATTATGGGAAGATCATTAACAGTTACTCGGGATCAGAAAGGTGCATCTTGTGGAATCATATAAGGCTTGGCTAAAAAATTGCAGTGATAGAAACAAAACCAGCTTGTAGACTGTTATAGTAATGTGTTTTTTTCTGGTCCCACTGTGAATCCCACATGACACCCATACCCAATAATTTCTTCCAGGGCTTGTTCATAGATTAAACTTTAACATGACCATGTTGCATAGTGAGCAGGAGCAGAATGGCACTGAATAGCAAGTGCTTACATGTATTAAGAGTGTTTGTGATACAGTAATTATGGACTGGGATAAAACAGAGGCTGTAGTTAACAACACTCCATTAGATTGCAGTTTCTAGCCTGGGAATTGGTGGGCTGTGTTACTAGTACAACAGTTATATTTCACAATTGTATTTTGTGGGGTTGTAAATACATTACAGAGAAGGTAGAAAGCATGGAAAGTCTTCAGTGTGTTATATTAGACCATGGTATGATTTCACATATATAAATGCAATATGTAGATGCCACTGCTTGGCTCATAGGTCAGCAGATTCAATGTAAAGGAAACATTTTGGCCATATTGCTCCGTGTGTGATCTCCTGCAATAAAATATTCCAATGTATTTCTTTGAAATGTTGAGTTGTGTGGCTTACTGAATATTTTCCCTGTTTTCCCTGCATGGCTTCAATCGTATGGCATATATAGTTCCACCAGCAGACCTAACCTGGAACAGTGCCCTCTGCAGCTGAAAGGGAGGCTGAGTGACCCAAGATATTTTCAGAAAACTGAAATGGGTGAACTGAGAAGAGTCCAGCCGGATATATGTACTCAGAACTGGAGATAAGGAGTTCAGTTTGGTAGAACCAAGGGAAATGGTATATGTTGCTGCCCTAACACAAGGTTCTGTTCTTCTCATAAATAATGGAGTAATTCAGAGAAACATGGACACCTCTTTCCCCCAGATGCCGAACCTGCCAGATTCACTTCACACTAGTAACGATCTCCTGAAGAGGATCCTTGATCCTGAGCTAGCAAGGAGTTGCTGCTTCTGTGGGGAGAGGTGTCAGCATGGCCAGCGGCTGCCAGATGTATGAATCTTTTCATGCCCCGATATTGCAGCTGCCACTGCTGTTGATCCCCATCCCAAGCAATGGTGTGAAAAGTGGCTATGGGCTGTGAGAAGGTCTCTGACACCTGGCGATGTTAACTCCCTGGCTGCTGACTGGACCTGTGGCAACAGTGTCTTGTTTCCATGGCTTGTTTGGGGAGACTGATGAGAAAGCTCTTGCCCCCACTCCCTGCTACCTGTGTTCTGGTGCCCACCCTTCTGTCAGTGCCCAGGACTCATGCCGCACTTGCCCACCCTTAGTTAGCTAGTATACTAATAGTTATCTAGTGTATATATTATTGCTGGTAATTTATCAATCACCTCTCAGAGCAGCTGTTTGATTTTCCCAGCTGCCTCTTCCTCCTTCCCAACTCCCCCACTAATATCTTACTGCTATCCACAGCATTTTCAAGCTTTCTGGAGGAGCAAAAATGCAGGAGCCAAACAGCCTCCTTATAAAGTGAACATATTTTCCACAACAGCCAGACTGCTATTTTTTCTCTTGGCCTTACCATAT